ATTTTTCTTGCTTGAAAATGAGGAGGACTTGAAGCATTTATCATGTTTATTACAGAAGATCAAAGCCTTCAATATGGATTGCATCTCAACATCAAAAAGCAAAAATTCTCACCACTTTACCAATAGGCAACATCGTAATAGATGGAGAAAAGATTGAAATGGTCAATGGCTTCAACTTGCTTGAATCCACAATCAATATGTTTGGTACCAGCAGTCAGGAGATCAGGAAACATATTACAGTGAGTAGGTGTGCAGTTAGGGACCTCTGCAAATTATTGAGGAGCAATGATGTTAATTTGAGGACTAAGGTGTATCTGATTCAGGACATGGTCTTTTCTGTCATTTGCTGTGGTTTGGGCAATGAATAGGATGACAGAAGAATTGATACCTTTGAACTGAAGGGTTAGAAAAGAGTCCTGACCATGGACTGCCAAAAGAACAAACTAAATATGTCTTGGAGAAAGTGAAGCCAGAGTACTCGCTCCTTGGAGGCAAAGATAATAAAGCTTTGCCCCACAAACTTTGAGGAGGTTCTCAGAGAGTCTATCCATGGAGATGGGTGTTATACTTCAAAAGGTTGAGGGACAGCAAAAAAGAGGGAGACCCTCAATTAGGTGGATTGACAGTGTGACTGTGGTAATGGGCTCAACTGTGTCAGAGATAGTGAGGATGGCACAGGATAGGACAGGGTTCAGATCTGTCGTTCATAGATTCTCTATGAGTTGTACTCAATTCAATGACACCGAACAACAACAGAACACTTAATTGTGCTCATGTAAAACCTGTACCAAGACCAAGAGGCTGTAGTGTGAACAGGTTAAGGGAATGCTGCTTAAGTTAAAATCAAGAAAGGGGTGCAACCTGTTTTGTATCCTTTTTCTATACCTCTTTGGTCTCTATGCTGAACAAATAATTCAAGAAGATTAGAGGAATTAGATTGGATAAATAGGAATGTGGCGTCAGGATTGAAAGAAGATTCATCAACAACCTTTGTTATATAGTTGATACAAGCTTGCTTGAAGAAAGTAAAAGACTTGAAACACTTACTACAGAGGTTAAAGACTACAGCCTTCTGTGTGTGTCTCTGTCCAAGGGAGAGATGAGCGATCCTCCCATGAGATTTACAGCCTAGGAAAACCTGCTGAAAGGTCAGCTATTGGTCAGTTCTGATTCGACGACAATGATTTGAGTTCCCTTATTTACTGTCCCTCTGGCACTCTGACTCTCTCCACAACACTAAATATCTTTATTATTTACACCTATCTCTCCTCGTTGGGCATAAATGCCAATAAGAACAGGAATGCTTCTTGGTTTTGTGCCTTTCTTGGCTGCTGTTTTCCGGGAAAGTCTGCTGTTAGGGACCTCTCTAAAGTACTCAAGAGCAACGGTGTCTCTCTGGAGACTGATACAGGCCATGGTTTTTGCAATCACTTGATATGCATCAGAGAGTTGGAAAATGACTAGGGAGGATAGAAGGAAAATTGACGCCTTTGAGCTGTGCTGCTGGAGAAGAGTATTGAATGTACCATGGACTGCCAAGAAAACAAACAGATTCATCCTAGAGAGGGTTAAACCAGGCTGCTCCTTGGAGGCAAGGATTCTGGGGCTTCGCCTGACATACTTTGGACATGTTGTAAGGAGAGACAGGTCTTTAGTGAGGGACATCATGCTGGGTAGATAAGAGGGACAGCGCAGGAGGGGAAGACCCTCTATGAGGTGGATTGATTCAGTGACTGGGGTAATCGGGATGGGTGTGTCAGAGGCAATGAGATTGGCACAGGATTAGAGCAGGGTTTAGGGCTGTTGTACATAGGGTCAGTATGAGTCGCAAACGACCCAACGGCACACAACAACAACAGACATCGCCTGGCATCATAGTTGTTGTCAAGTGCTGTTGAGTCAGAGCTGACTCATAGCTCACCCTCCAGGAGGTTTTAGAGGCATTAAATTGCATGGTAGGAAATTGCCCATCTTTCTCCTATGAAGCAGCTGGCAAATTTGAACTGCATACCTTCAGGATGGCAGCACAGCTCTTACGACTAGAACACCAGAGCTCCCTGGGATCTGAGTGGGAGCTCAATTAAGTATGTGTGGAATGAATGAATGAGCCTTTACAGTAATCCCTTGTAGGAGGTACCATTATTGTCCTTATTCTGCACAAAAGGAAACCAAGGCTTGGCGAAGCGGGCAAAGCTGAGTGACTCCTGCAAGGTTATACAGATATGAATTGACAGAGCCAGTCTATGCAGGCATGTGACCCCACCACGGGCTGTAGCCTCATGTTCTCTGCACCATGCCGTCGGGGTAGAGTCAAGAGGCTGGTTCTACGTGATGTCGACTTAGATTATGTGTTCTGTATCCACAGCCCCACCCACATTCTGTTCACCCACAATCTGCTTTCTTGCCAGGACTCAGGGGCACCCTCCCCCTCTCTCTCTCCCTCCCTCCCCCTCCTCGTTTCTCTCTTCTCTCTTTTTCTCTCAATAGCATCCTGTTTAATGTTGTGTTTCCACAGGCGTCCCCTTCTCTTTTGAAGCTGATGGAAGTAACCAGCTGATCCTAATGACCTCGGGGAAAGTGTCCAACAGTGTGGCGTGGGCTGTCGGTGAGAACGGCATCCCCCTGATCCCGCCACTGTCACAGCAGAACATTGGATTTCGGAGGTGAGACATCAATGGCTGAGAGATGTCACAGTGAGTAGTGCATGTATCCAATGCAGATCCAGAAGACTCAATCCACGATATTCTCTCAGCACTTTTTAAGAGTTCTTCTTGGGTGGGGGGGGGTTCCTGCTAGTTTATTTACAAAATTCAAATACAAATTTGAACAAATTCTTTCAATTTCCCTCACCCCATCAGATTGCACAATCCAATGATTAATCCCCTCTTCCCCCTGCACATTCACATCCCTCTGCTTCCAGCCTCTCCCACCCCTCCTGGATCCTTACACTCATTCTACAATAACGGTTTTATACAATATTTATCCTTGTGAGACTGAGTTAGTTCACTCAACATAATGTTCTCCAGTCCCTCCCAAGTTAGGTTATAATTTACAAAATCATTCATTGCTCCTGTGTTGTTCTTAAAGCAAAAGTTCTACTCTTGGGGGGTGAGGGCGGGGAGAGGGGTGCAACAATGAATAAATGGAATTAAAAAAAAAAGTTCTACTCTTAATAGCATAACAGATTACCACGTGTCAGGTGTTCTGAAAAGCATTTCATTTAACCTTTGCCATTACTTTTACTGTTACGGATTGACAGCACTGTTTTTTTACCTTCTAGGACACCAGAACTCCCTCACCACTCTGTTGTTGTTGTTGTTGTTGTTGTTGTTAGTGGTGGTGGTGAGTGCTGTCTAGTTAGAACCGACCCACACCTGACCCTCCAAGTGGGTTTTCAGAGGCAGCAAATCAAATGAAAGGAAATTGCCTCCCCTTCTCCCACAGAGCAACTGGTTGATTTGAACTGTATCCCTTCAGGATTGTAGTATAGCTTCTTACCACCAGGCCACCAGAGCACCCAAGAAACATCCTGTTGTTCTTGGTGTGTCCCCTCAAGTTGAAATAGACCTGTATTGACCCTCCTGTGTTCTTCAGAGGCAATTAATCGCATGGGAGGAGATTAGACAGTTAATCACACGGGAGGAAATTACTCATCCTTCTCCCACAAGAGCAACTGGTGGATTCCAACCATATGCCTTTGGGATTGCAGCGCAGCTTCTCACCATCAGGCCACTATTACTCTCTAAAGTAGTATTTTTCCCATTCAAAAATGGGCAAAAAAAAAGTATATATAGGGTGTTCACTCAGTCACTCACCATCTTGTAGTCAATTCCAACCCATAGCAGCCCTCCACCTGGCTTAAGAGGCTCTGAATCTTAACAGGAGGAGACTGCTGGGTTCTCCCATGGCGTCCCTTGCTGGGTGTGTCTTTGGTCATCCTATTCATTATCCAACTTTCAGACGTATACAAAGCATTTGAAAATGCTGTAGCTTACAGAAGGCGCACCTTAGTCTTTAAACTGACATCCCTCCTCTTTATAAATCCATTAGTATTTCTTTAATTTTCTTATGCTTAGTAGCAATCATCATGGCAAGATTTCTTCCTTGTGATGATCCCCATACTTCACACTCTGACAGCCCTTTTGCATGCCACGGGGGCTGGGCTTGTGAGGGGCTGGTGGGATCTGCTCTGAAATAAAGAGGGGTTTGTGGACTCACCTGTTTTGCAGTGCTTTGAAGAGAGCGGATGCCATCTCATCCATTGGCACATCAGGACTGACGGACATGAAGAAGCTGGCCAAGTGGGCAGCCGAGTCCAAGCTGGACCCGAACGACCCCAACAACTCCCCTTTGATGCAGATGATCTCGGTAATGTGGGTGCTTGTGTGTGCACACGTGAACCCTAGAATTGATGGGATGGTGGTTCCCACATAACCCTCTCCTGCTCTCCGGTGGACTTGTGTGGACAGCCACTTACCTGCTCTGTAACCCAGGCAGGTGTTCCCTGCCCTTGCGCCCTGGGCATCCTCACTGTTACCTGAAGCCTCAGCTGGGCTCACAGTAGGTGTGCAATGCACATCAGCTAGTATCGCTGTGGTGATGATCCACTTTCTCCCTGACCTCTGTATAACCTCTGTCATTATTAGGGGCTGTTGAGTGGAGTACAGCTCATAGCAATCCTATGGAAAACAGATCTGAACCTTGTCCTATCCTGTACCATCCCCATGATTCCTGTGCAACCAGAGTGCTCCTTACAGGCGAGGCTGGGACAGCATTGTCTCAGATGCCTTGGGCGTGTCACTAGGTGAGGCTGTTCCTTGGAGAGGGACATCATGCTTGGAAAGGTGGAGGGTCAGTGAAAAGAGGAAGACCCCCAATGAGAGGTACCGATAGTGACTGCAGTAATGGGCTCACGTGTGTCAGGGATGATGGGGACAGAACCTCTAAGAGAGAGTTTTTCCTCTTGCCACCTGCCCACCCCTTCTATTGAGAGGAAATCTAGTTCAGAGATTTAGAATAACCTGCCCCAAGTCTCACAGCCAGGAGAGACACAGCCCCTCGTAACTCTGATTTCAGAACGTGTTTTCTCCCCACTACAACATGAAGTACTGATCAACCAAACCAAAGCCCTCCACCATGCAGTTGATTGTGTCTGTAGGAGACAGTAGAATAGTGCCTTTAGATTTCTTAGCATCGACGCAGAGTGGGAAGGTCTCATAGATGTCTTAGCATCATCACAGAGTAGAGAAGTCTCTTTAAGATTTCTTACCATCTTCACAGACATCCCTCTCCAAGGACGTCCTTCCTCCTTGCAACTTGTCCAAAGTATGTCAGGCGAAGCCCCAGAATCCTTGCCTCCAAGGAGCAGCCTGGTTTAACCCTCTCCAGGATGAATCTGTTTGTTCTCTTAGCAGTCCATGGTATATTCAATCCTCTTCTCCAGCACCACAGCTCAAAGGCATCAATTCTCCTTCTATCCTCCCTAGTCATTGTCCAGCTCTCTGATGCATAACAAGTGATTGCAAAGACCATGGCCTGGATCAGGTGCATCTTAGCCTCAAAATACAAAATACAAAATTCATTCATTCCCATCAAGTCTGAACCCGCTCACGTTTGACCCTCCAGAGGGTTTTCAGAGGCTGGAAATTACACAGGAGGAGATTGCCCATCATTTTCCCATAGGGCAGCTGGTGGATTTGAAATGCCTGTCTTTGGGTTGGTAGTGCAACCTTTTATCCACAAGGCCACTCAAACTCACAGCAGGCACGTGTACAGCGGGACACACTGCCCACTCCCACGGCCCCCTCACAATCATGGCTGTGTGCTGAGACCTTACCTCTGAGCTGGTCTAGCGCATTGAAAGTCTTGCTCTTTCCAATTACCCTTTAGCACTATTGTTGGGCAGGTTCTACTCTGATGAGGCAGCTCTAGTCCTTTTAGTTCCCTCCAACATGAGAGCTTCCTCTTCTGCCACTACAGCTAACAGTCTCCCGTTGTTCTCTGCAAGGTTTCAATGACTAGTGATATTTCAGAGATGTGTGACCAATCCGGCTTCCTAGCCCGTCTTAGTCTAGAAGCTCTGGCAGGGACATAGTAAGACACTTGGGTTTGATATAAATCACTTCTTTTTCCATGTGTTCATTTACATCAAACCCATTAGGGAAGCAAACACATAAAAACCATACCTTACATCATTGTTGTGTGTTTGAAAAATGATTCATGCTACTTTTTGAGCTACCAACTGAGTGTAATAGGGAACTCTGGCAGCTTGTTGTTGTTGTTGTTGTTGTCTGCAAGTAGGAAACGACCCATAGTTGACCCTCCAGTGGGTTTACAGAGGCAGTTAACTGCATGGGAAAAGATTGCCCATCCTTCTTCCGCAAAACAGCTGTTAAGTTCAAGCTGCATGCCTTTGAGTTTGCAGCACAGCTTCTTACCACCAGGCCACCAGCCTGTTGTTATGTAATCCTGAGTCCAAACTGACTCATAGGTGACCCTCCAGTGGGTTTTCAGAGGCAGTAAATCGCACGGGAGGAGATTGGCCATCCTTCTTCCACAGAGCACCCGGGGGATTTGAACCTAGTACACCTGGGATTGCAGTGCATTTCTTTACCACTACGAGTGGTAAGGAGTTGTGGTGCCAATCTAAAGGCACGTGGTTGGAATTCGTCACCTGATCAACAGGGCAAAGGTAGGCAATGTCCAGTGTGATTAACTGCCTCTGAGAACCTGCTGGAGGGTCAGCTAGGAGTCAGTTCCACCTCAAGGATTCTTGTTTGTTGTTGTTGTTTTAAGTGCTGTCGAGTCTCAGACAACTCATAGCGACCCTGTGAAGGAGAGTCCTCGATGCTTGTGTGTCTTTCATCCTCTCTCCAGGTACATAGGGTTTCCGGAGGCAAGCTGTTATGGAAGTGGATGCCACTCCTCCTTCCAGGCTTGTTTTAATAGGGGAGCTCCACCAAACACTGTCCACCATGGGTAATCATTATCGCAGTTGACACATCAGTGTCACAGTGTTCAGCTTCACAACAACCACAAGTTACCACTGTACAACAAGTGGACACACCAGGGCTATATTAACGACAGAAAAAAGTCTAGAATATATTTCTGACATCTAATGTGCAAAAAACAACTGAGGGGCCCTGTGGGTGCGACACTAAGTGCTGGGCTGTTAACTGAAAAGTTGGCAGTTTGAACCCACTCCTTGGTCCACAGAGAAGAGCTGGGCAATTTGCTCTTCTAAAGATTACAGCCTAGAAACTGTAGGGGGCAGTTGTACTGTGTCCGAAGGGCTTATTGTGAATCTAAATTGGTCCAGTGGCAGGCAAGAGCAACAAAGATGAGTGTAATCACATCTGCCTCTTTGCTGTCTAATGCTTACGGTATATTCTCTTTAAAGGAAACATGGGATGTGTCAGGTTTCTCTCTTGAAGACACAGAAGTATGTCGCAACACGTCTTTGGACAGAGACTGTCTGGAGTCTAGAGTTGTGTGTGTTCTGGGTGTGTTTCCTAGGTTGCTACCAGCGGCGAGTCCTATGTCCCTGATTTCTTCCGGCTGGAACAGCTGCAGCAGGAGTTTAACTTTGTTTCGGATGAGGAACTGAATAGATCCAGACGGTTCCGATTGCTTCATCTGAGGAGTCAAGAGGTGCCTGAGTTCCGAAATTATAAGCAAGTCCCGGTGTATGACAGAGAGATTAAGGAAAAGGTATTCCAGGTAAGAAATTACCTTCAAGGGAATAATAAACGTGTGTGTGTGTGTGTGTGTGTGTGTGTGTGTGTGTTGGCAGTATTGTGGAGGTGGTGGTATGTTATATATTCATAAACAAATAAATAAGTGTACGCCAGGGATGCATCCTGTCTCCATACCTTTTCAACCTGTATGCAGAGCAGATTATCCGAGAGGCGGGGCTCTATGAGGAGAAGCGTGGCATTAGGATTGGTGGACGATCTATCAACAATCTGCGTTATGCGGATGACACAACCCTGCTCGCTGAAACTGAGGAGGACCTCATGCACTTGCTGCAGAGGGTCAAGGACTGCAGCCTTCACTATGGACTGAGGCTCAATGTCAAGAAGACAAAGATTCTCACCACTGGACCAATTGGTAGCATCAGGATGGATGGTGAAGAGATTGAGATTGCTCACAGCTTCAGTTTGCTCAGCTCCACGGTCAACACTCTTGGCACCAGTAGCCAGGAAATCAAAAAATGTATTGCCATGGGAAAGTCTGCTGTTAGGGACCTCTCTAAAGTACTCAAGAGCAACGGTGTCTCTCTGGAGACTAAGGTGCGCCTGATAACAGGCCATGCTCTTTGCAATCACTTGTTATGCATCAGAGAGTTGGATAATGACTAGGGAGGATAGAAGGAGAACTGATGCCTTTGAGCTGTGGTGGTGGAGAAGAGTATTGAATGTACCATGGACTGCCAAGAAAACAAACAGATTCATCCTGGAGAGGGTTAAACCAAGCTACTCCTTGGAGTCAAGGATTCTGGGGCTTCGTCTGACATACTTTGGACATGTAGTGAGGAGAGACAGGTCCTTGGACAGGGACATCATGCTTGGTAGGGTAGAGGGACAACACAGGAGGGGAAGACCCTCTATAAGGTGGATTGATTCAGTGACTGGGGTAATCAGGATAGGTGTATCAGAGGCAATGCGATTGGCACAGGATAGAGCAGGGTTTAGGGCTGTTGTACATAGGGTCGTTATGAGTCGCAAATGACTCGACAGCACATAACAACAACAACAACATATGTAATATATACAACATATTGAGTGTATAGTTTACTTGGCTCCATAGTCAACACTCTTGGCACCAGCAGCCAGGGAATTAAAAGATGTATTGCGATAGGAAAGTATACTGTTAGGGACCTCTCCAAAGTACTGAAGAGCAATGGTGCCACTCTGGAGACTAAGGTGTGCCTGATACAGGCCATGGTCTTTGCAATCACTTGCTATGCATCAGAGAGATAAACAATGACTAGGAATAACAGAAGGGGAATTGACGCGTTTGAGCTGTGGTGTTGGAGAAAAGTATTGAATATACCATGAACCGCTAAGAAAACAAACAGGTTCCTCCTGGAGAGGGTGATGCCAGGCTAGTACTTGGAGACAAGGATTCTGAAGCTTTGTCTGACATACTTTGGATAAATTGCAAGGAGGGACCAGTCCTTGGAGAGGGACGTCATGATTGGGAAAGTGGAGGGACAGCACAGGAAAGGAAGACCCTGTATGAGGTGGATTGATTCAGTGACTGGGGTAATTGTGATGGGTGTATCTGAGACAGTGCGATTGGCACAGGACAGAGCAGGATTTAGTGCTGTTGTACACAGGGTCACAATGAGTCGCAGGCAACTCGATGACACATAACAGCAACAACATTATTATAATAATTATTTATGTACACGCACATACATATACTGTAACATTCTCAGTAGGGATATTGGCTTCTCTTTCATAGAACCTTTTATACAGAATCTTTCCCTTCTTTTTCTTGAAGAATCCAAGGTTTGAGCAATCTTTTGTTGTGATACCATGACATATGAACTAATTACCCTTCCTCATGCAGGAATACTATTCCGTTTACCAGTAAGTATTTGCTAAGCACAAAGGCTTGGGGGCATAGTCCCTAGGGAGACTAAACTGCTAAGCCAAAAGCCATGCCCACCAGCAAACCTACCAGTTCCTCAGCAGGCAAAAATTGTAGTAGTCTGTGTCTGTGAAGATTTACAGACATGGAAACTCTATGAAGCAGTTCTGTGTCCTATAATGAGTTGGAATTGACTCAAAAGCAGTAGGCCTGGCTGGCTTTGATTTGGAAATGGGTATTATTGAGGAGTAGTGATGGCAGTTTGAAGACTAAGGTGTGTCTGATTCAGGCTATAGTTTTTCTGCGTACTACCTATGCATCTGAGAGCTGGACAATGAATAAAGATCACAGAAAAAGAATTGACACCTTTGAACTGTGGTGTTGGAGAAGAGCATTGAACATCCCATGGACGGCCAAGAGAATGAACAGATATGTCTCGGAGAAGGTGCAGCTAAAGTGTTCTTTGGAGGCAAGAATGATGAGGCTTCACCTAACATACTTTGGACATGTTGCTAGGAGGGCCTATTCCTTGGAGAGGGGCATGATGCTGGGAAGGGTACAGGGTTGGAGAAGGAGAAGAAGACCTTCAAGCAGGTAGACTGACAGGGTGACTGCTGCAATGGGCTCTTGTGTGTCAGGAAGTGTGAGGATGGTGCAGGATAGAGCAGGGTTCAAATCTTTTGTTCATAGGGTCGCTATGAGTCGTGCTTGACTTGACAGTACCAAACAGCAACAACATGACAGGAAGGTCTTCTGTGTGTGCACGTATTTCATGGACTCCTGCCAAATCTGAGCAAGGGAACACTGCATGGCTTAATATCAGGAAGAGTGTGCATCAGGGAGGTCTTTTCTCTAGACCTATTCAATCTGTATGCTGAGCAAATCATTTGTGAAGCCAGACTCTATGAACAGGAATGTGGCATCAGGATCTCAGGAAGACTCAGCAGCAGCCTGTGTTATGCAGATGACACAACCTTGCTTCCTGAAAGTGAGGAGGATTTGAAATGCCTGATGCAGAAAATCAAGGAAGACAGCCTTCAGTGTGGTTTACACCTCACCATCAAGAAAACAAAGGTTCTCACCGTGGGACCAATAAACAACATCATGATGAATGGAGAAGGGACTGAAGCTGTCAATGATTTCATCTTGCTGGGATCCACAATCAGTACCCTTGGTACCAGTAATCAGGAGATCAGGTAATGTGTCACATTGGGCAAGGTCACTATTAAGGACCTTTCAAAAATACTTAAGAGCAAAGATATCAGCTTGAAGACTGTGCTGTGCTTGATTCAGGCCAGGGCCTTTTCAATCACCTGCTATTCATCTGAGAGTTAGGAGATAAATATGGATGACAGAGGAAGAATTGATGCCTTTGATTGTAGTGCTGTTGTTGTTGTTATGTGCTGTCGAGTCACTTGTGACTCATAGCGACCCTATGTACAACAGCCCTAAACCCTGCTCTATCCTGTGCCAATCTCACTTCCTCTGACACATCCATCCCGATTACCCCAGTCACTGAATCAATCCACCTCATAGAGGGTCTTCCCCTCCTGCGCTGTCCTTCCACTCTGGCCAGTATGATGTCCCTCTCCAAAGACCTGTCTCTCCTTACAACATGTACAAAGTATGTGTATTGAGTATTCTGTGGTCTGCCAAAGAATGAACAGACATATCCTGGAGAAAGTGCAGCCAGAGTGCTCCTTGGAGGCAAAAATGACAAAGCTTCATCTCACATATTTTGAGCAAGTGGCCAGGAGAAGCTATTCCTCAGAGAGGGGCATCATATATGGAAAGATGGAGGGTCAGCAAAAGATAGGAAGACCCTTAACAGGATGGATTGGCACAGTGACAGCAGCACTGGGCTCAAGTGTGTCAGAGACTGTGAGGATGGTACAGGACAGGACAGGGTTCAGGTGTGTCGTTCACAGGGTCACTATGAGTCATACACTTGACAGCATCTAACAACAGGAAGGAAGGGAGGGAGGGAGGGAGGACTGCTGACTGGGCTTTCTGGACAAGGATCGCAGAGGACAAAGTTTAAAGGAGGGCTGGCCATGCAGGGGAGGAACAGAGGAGGGGCAATGAGCAATAAGCCTGTATAGATGGAAAGTGAAAGCCAGACGGACTTGTCTGTGTTTAATGAAGTAAATGGAGAAACATTAGAAAGTAATGGTCTCAGTTATGTAATGCTGCTATATCAGAAATGCCACAGGGAAATGACTTTAGCTCAGACGACTTGATTTAGGAAGTTAGAAGTCTAAATTCCTGAGCCAGCTGTGAGGCCAATTTCTCCTTCTCTGAGTTTCAGGGGAAGGCCCTTGTCTCGTCAGCCTCTTTCCTTAGATATTGCCGTGTGTTTTGGCATCTCTCTCTCACCATCTCTGAATTCTGAAGGGATCTCTTTCTTATCTCAAAAGAGAGGGACTAAAGACATTCCCTACATTAATCTTGCCTCGTTACATTAAAAGGACTACCCATGCCAGATGAATTTATAACCTTGGGAACATCATTGTTCATTGATTCCTTTGAGTCAGTTCCAACTCGCAGAAACTCCGCAGACAACACAACAGAACACTGTCCAGTCCTGTGCTTGAGCTATTACTAGCTGTCCTCGAGCCTGTCTCCTACTGTGTCAATCCATGGCATTTAGAGCCTTCCTCTTTTTCACTGATCATCGTGACAGATGGATCAAAGACTGACATTGTCAACTGTTTCATCTTACTGGAATCCAGAATCAATACCCTCAATCGCAGCAGTCAGGCGATCAGGAGACTTAGAGCATTTGAAGAGCCTGTGTGGTCAGGGATGTCTCCGGGTCCATGACGAGGTTGTGCCTGATTCAGGCCATGGCTTTTCCAGTCACCTGCTGTGCATCTGAGAACTAGAAAATGAATAAGGACGATGAGAGACGACTCGATGCCTTTGAGTTGCGATGTTGGAGAAAAGTGCTGAATATCCCATGGTCTACCACAAGAACAAACAGAGGTGACTTGGAGAAAGTGTAGCCAGAGTGCTCCTTGTATCAAGGATGGTGAAGCTTTGTCTCATACACTCTGGGCATGTTGGTAGGGACATCATGCTTGGGAAGGTGAAGGGTCAGTGAAGGATAGGAAGACCCTTAAAAAGGTGGGTTGACACTGTGACGACTGCAGTGTGGAAGAGGTAATAAGGATTGTGTAGGGTAACACAGGGTTCAGAACTGCTGTTCACAGAGTTGCTATGAGTCATAAGTCTTACGCAACTCAACAGCACCTAACAAGAGTAAGAACTACTTTAGTAAACATAATGTTCTCCAGACATTGGTCCCAACTCGTAACATGTCCAAAGTGTATGAAGCATAACTCTTTGCTCTGCTGCCTTCCTTGGAGATTTCTGGGTGCACTTCTCCAGGATAATCAGGTTTTGATTTTAGGGGATTGCTTGGTATGTTGTTGTTGTTGTTGTTGTTGTTGTTGTTGTTGTTGTTGTGTGCCGTCCAGTCACTTGCAACTCATAGCGACCCTATGTACAACAGCCTTAAACTCCGCTCTGTCCTGTGCCAATCGCACTGTCCCTGACACTCCCAGCCCAATTACCCCAGTCACTGACTCAATTCACCTCATAGAGGGCCTTCCCCTCCTGCGCCGTCCCTCCACCCTCCCCAGCATGATGTCCTTCGCCAAGGACCGGTCTCTTCTTACATGTCCAAAGTATGTTAGACGGAGCCTCAGAATTCTTGACTCCAAAGAGCCACCCGGTTTAACCCTTTCCAGCATGAATCTGTTTGTTTTCCTAGCAGTCCATAGTACTCTCAGTGCTTGGTATATCCAGTATTATTTGCCAACACCACATTTTAAAGACATCAGTTCTTCTTCAGCCTTCTTTGTTCACTGCCCACCTTTCTTATCCATGTGAAGTTACTGAAAATACCGTGCCTTGGACCAGGCACCCCTTAGTCCTGACATCTTTGCTGTTTATTATTTTTAAAGATTCCTTTGAGTTCTTGATTGCTACTATCATGGGTGGTGAATGTGGATCTAAATAAAATGAAACTTGGTAACTTCAATCTTTTCTTCATTTAGCATGATGTCATTTATTGATCCAGTTCTGGAGATATTGTTCAGTAGGAATACCGCAGTGTTTGGTCTTTATCAGCAAGTGTGTCCTGTCTTCTTGGCTTTCAGCAAGCAAACCACTAGCATAGAGCTTCGGTTTAGAACATAGATTATGGAGTCACATTTCAGTCCATAACTGTGGCGGTGTTTCCAATGGTTGCCATCATGTGGGTTCACTCATTACTAGCCCCGAATTGTACAGAGTAGAACTTCTTCCTAGCATTCTCAAGGCTGTGACGTCCAGGAATCTGAAAGTCAATCCTCTAGTTGAGTTTGAATGAACGCCCTTTGGACTAAATCGTTTGTGCCACCCAGGAACTCCTATTGTTGTTACTGGATGCCATCAAGTTATTTCTAACTCACAGCGACCCCGTCCTGTGCCTTCCTCACAGTCTCCCATCATCACAGTCACTGTGACAATCCATCACATTAAAGGTCTTCCTCTCCTTATGGTATTTTCAAGGATGGATCTTTCCAAGGGCTGGTCCCTCCTAATAACATGCCCAGTGAAGGCAAAACAGTCTCACTGTCCCTGCCTCTAAGGAACACCCTGGCTGCACTTCATCTACGAGAGATTTGCTTATTCTTTGGGCAGTCCATGATATAGTCGACATTCTTGAACAGCACCATAATCTAAAGGCATCAGTTCTTCAGCTGACCTCCTCATTCATTGCCCAGCTCTCACACGCATATGAAGCAGCTGTAAATGACTTGGGCAGGTGTACCTTAGTCTTGAAAGTGACTTCCTTGTTTCTTAGCACTTTAAAGAGGTTCTTGATGACAGATTTGCCCAATAAAATATATTCTTTTATTTCTTTTTTCCAATAACTTTATTCATTAAAAAACACTCAAATAAATAAAACCTTTCAACTTCTACAATATTCATTTGATTTCTTTTTTATTTTTGCCTTGTGTACATTCTTTATTTTGAATACTTATAAAATATTGTTATTCCTCAAGAAACAGCAAAGATCACCCCATGCAGAAACTGAGAAACTGTATACACAATTTTACAGAACAATGGGAAGCAGAGAATGTGGTTCTGAGCAGACACAATGAAGAAAAGAAAACTGGGAAGGGAAGTGCCCATCCGAATAAAACTTGAGTCGCCATCAGGTCACGTCTTGTGTTTTTCACAGAAACGGAAGCTGTTTTGGGGAGGTTCCTGTACAGCACAGGGGATCCGTGTGTCTTCTTGGCTACACCCCTGGTTGGGGTGCCACTAGGTCAATGTCACTCAAATTTCTGGCCAGCCAAACTCCTCCAAAAATCATTCCTATTGGTGGCGAAGCAGTAGATGCCTCGCAGCCAATCTCCTACGTTGTTTGGGATTTCGGGAGTTTCATTTGTCGATCCCACAGCGCTCACGCCAACCCCACCAGAAGCCATAGTAGCACCTTCACATTCCTCATTTGATTTCTTAACTGCCATTTCCATGGATGTTTGCTGACACCAAGGAAAAATCATTGGCATATCTAATCTTTAAGCCATTTGTCATGATGTTCACTATGGGTCCAGTTGTAAAGACTGGTTTTCTTGATGTTGAATGTGATCCGTAGAGAAGGCTGTCGTCTATCTTCTTCAGGAAGCACTTCAAGTCTTCTTCAGTTTCTACGAGCAAGGTCATGTCATCAGCATCCTACATGTTGTTGATGAATCTTCCTCCAATCCTGATGCCCATTTTTCTTCATGTCCAAATTCTCGGATTGTTTGTGCCACATAGAAATTGATTAGCTATGGAGAATGTATACAACCCAGACTCACACCTTTCTTGATTTTAAACCATGTGATGACCGTGGTGGCAGTGATGGTGGTGGTGGAGGTGGTGATGGTGGTGGTGGTGGTGGTGTTTGCTGTTGAGTTGGAACCAAACCATAGCTGACCCTCCAGCAAATTGTCAGAGACTGTAAATCACATGAAAGGAGAAGCTGGTGGATTTGGACTGCGTGCCTCTGTGTTAAACATAAATCACATGGAATCCTTCCCCCCCCCCCCCGTTTGAATGACTGCTTCCTGGTCTGTATGCAGGTTTCACATGAACACAATTAAGTGTTTTGGGTTTCCCATCCTTCTTAATGTTGTTATTGTTGCTATTGATTGCCTTCGAGTCAAGTACGACTCATAGAGTCCCTATGAACAAAAGACCTGAAGCCTTTCTATAACTATCATCATTTATCAAAGTTCATAGAGTTTCCAGAGGCAGGTTGTTTAGGCAGTGGATGCCACTCCTGTATCAAAATTCTTAATGTTAGCCATAACTTATTATAATCCACACAGTTGAATGCCTTTGCATAGTTAAAAAAAAAAGCCCAGACAAACAAACACAAGTAAACATCACCTTGTGGTCTGTCTGTTGTTTGGCTGAAACTTGAGCCTGGGGGTAAGTTTTGTTCCAGATTTGCAGGGTGACTGTGGTCATGTGATCTGGGATTCCACTAGGCATCAGAGAGTACTCTTTTTGTTCATTTTTTTAATAATTTTAATGAACATTTTCAGAGACTTTGGATTTCCATTTATTCAGTGTTGCACTTTTCCACCTGCCCACCCTTCCCCCCCCCCACCCAGTACACTTTTCTCTTTGAAAAGTAAAAGAAAAATTCTTTCATTGTTTTACAATCATTCCACCCCAGGTCCACTCCACTATGCAGCCTTC